TTTCAAATATTTTAAGTCTGAGTAGCCAAACAGCTTTCCATGAGGTGAACACACCTCCTTGTGCACAGGGAGCCAGACCTGTGCCTGGCTCCCCTGACCTGTATTACCTGGATTTGGAAGAGCCAAAAGTCTGTGCTGGCTTCCAAGAAAACTGTCACTGTTGGTTCTACTCTAGTGAGTGTAGTTCAGAGTCACTTCTAAGCTAGAAAGAGGTGAGAGGATTTGGAGAGGGCCTGGGAAGAGCTTCCTCCAGAAGAGCCCCATCAAGCTCGGGTCCAGTTCATGACCAGCAGAGTCTCATTTCCAGAGACTGGTGACAGCTGTGATGATGAACCAGTTACTGTGTGTGCAGTTCATGTTCTTACTGTGCTGGCTGTGGGACCTGGATTTATTGAAGAGGGACCTGACAGGGATGGAGGGAACCTGTCATGGCCCAATGCAGCTCATGTTGGGGGTGTATCTCAATTTTCAGTCCCGACAGCAGAAAAATTCCTTGAAGAAATTCTGAGAAGAGAGCAGCTGTAGAACCTGGTGGATGTTTAGCTTCCAAATCTGTTGCTAGGTGTTCACAGAATTCCAGAAAGGTTTGGGTTGGAAGGGAACTTACAGCTCATCTGAATCCATCCCCTGGTATGGGCAGGGATATCTTCTACTAGACCAGGTGGCTTCAAGCCCCATCCAACCTGGCCTTGAACACTTCCAGAGATGGGGCAGCCACAGCTGCTCTGCCACATGTAGGTGATCAAGTTTTGCACATTCTTGCTGTTCCCTCTGGGACTTGGTAATATTTTGCCAAAGGACTCCATGGTGGTGAATGGTGTTTGCCAGAAACATTTAAAGCTCTGAGTACCTGAAGGAGTTCAGGATGGCAGGATGGAGACCAGTGTACCAGTGTCATAAAAGCATTATCAGAAGACTGTATGTTTCTTGGAGAAGTTAATCTTTTGTTCTTGACACCTCTGCACCAACCAACAGGGCATTGTAACTCTCTTTTCAGCATCATTCACCCTTGGCTTAGGAGGGGTTTCTCCTCACAGTATTTTCTTTCCCTCTGGCTAGCATTCCCTAACATACAGATTTGCTCCTGTGTTCCTGGTTTACTAGCCTGTATATCCAGCCTTCCTATTTCCTGGGTTGAATCTCCCCTTCTATTAGTACTGTATTGTAGCTCCTTTTGCCTTGATGTGGTGATGAGTAGTTGGGATCCATTTGAGATTTACACTATCCTTGATGAAAGAGTTGACAGATGAAGATAGGCGTTTCCTTGAAAATAGGCAGAATTAAGTGGGAGCCAGGTTCATCAGTCAGTTCCCAGGCTTTTTCCTAGCTAATACACAAACCAGAAGCTTGTAGCTCTCTCAGGGCAGCAAGATACACTTTTCTCTGTCTGTGGGAACTGCAAACCTCTGCAGTGGTTTTGCTGACTCTCATATACACATCTTGAACAATTTCTATTCTCCTCCTTGAACTTACAGCCAAAGCTTTGGTAAAAATCTGTTCTGCTTTATACATGCCTTGAGCTTGGTGTGATGGCTGCTCTTACTGCAAGTATTTCTCAGAGAAAGTTTATTGCAAGGAAACAAAGCACATAGGGCCTTTCCTTTGAAGATCCACTTGGACACTGAGATGTTTGCTTGAATTAAGAGGGTGACACAGGCTCTGCACTTGAGGCAGCAGCATGATCCTTTAAAATATAATTAAAGGATTGTGTATTGTTCAGAGGCTGCCTCACACCCCATTTAGTGCTTGTGCCCTGCAGCCTGCTGTGCTCTGCAGTGTTTCTGCTTTGGAGAGCACTGTGCTGCTCTGCCTGTGCCATCCAGCCCAGCCCTGAGCTGCACTGACTCGCCATCTCCTTCCTGTGCATTTGTTCTCTCACTCTCTTCCAGCACATTTAGCACACTCAGGTCTCTCAAAATTCAGTTTTTAAGAAAAGCGACACAAAATGTGTCAGTAAAAGACAGTAAAATCTGTCTTTTCTCTGCTTTCCCCCAAAATTAAAAAGCAAAGTACACAGGGTCCCAAGCAGGGCACATCTGGGCCTGCATTGCCAGGCTGCTGTGCAGCTGCAGGTACTGACAGCATCACCCCTCCTTGGGCACCTGGAACAGGCTGTGGCTGCTCCCTTGCAGAAATCAGCTCTGTCACTGTGCAGTGGCTCTGCTGACTTGCCTCAGAAAATTCTGTTATCTCATGCTGTAAATGGCTTTGGGTGAGCTCCAGAAAGTGATGAATTGTGTAAATGGAAAGAACCCAAAAGTTGGCAAATTGATCGTGGCTGTGGCCCAGGCTGAGCCATGCTGACCTGCAGGATGTGCTCAGCTGAAGATCAAGTCACTCATACAGGTTGGACTCCCAGAATGGCTAATGATGCTGTAAGATGTCTGTATTTTTATATAAATTCTGGGGGAGCAGAGGGGAAAAAGTCTGGGAGGATGATGGGGTAAAAGACCCAAAATGGTTTTTCTCTTGCCATACCCAAAGCAAAGCTGTGGCCGAACTGCACCAAGGAAATGCAAGTGCCTGGGCTGCCCCAGCTGCAGAGCTCCTCCCCACACCTGGGGCTGACCTCATCCCCACAGATTTGCCAAACCTTTCCTGGAACTCATTTGAAAACCTGTTTTGTCCTCTCTATACCTGTAGCTCCTACATACCTGCGTCCTCACTGCAGAGTGAATTCCACTGATTTAAATTCCATGATTCAAATCCATTGCAGCAAACTGCCTGCTGTACTGAGCTACAAATTTACTTGGTTTATATATTTCAGGAATTTATATTTTTTTTACTACTGCTCTGAACTTCATTTGCAGTATATTTTGCAAATGCCTTCTTCCTGTAGGTGGCTTATTGCTTCTGACTGCTGGGCAAACAGCAGTGATTCTGCTTGTGTCAAAGGCTGCAGAAAATGCTTGTTGTTTCCTTAATGTGCCATTACCTGGACAGTGCACACACTGCAGCAGAGAGAGCAGGAGAGCTCCTGCTCTGCAAAATTAGGAGTTGCACAGCTTTCACTCATCAAACAGCAGCTTTTTTTGTTCATGAAACAGTAGATTCTTGAGAGACAGTCATCCCTCTGAAGTGTAGGCGCTTCCCTGTTGGCATATCCATCACAGCTCATGTGTCTGTCTGGTAATCAATGGGAAGAAATGAGCTCCTCTGCAGTGCATGCACATGGGTTGTGCTGGAGGCTCCTCGTGAAGGTAATAAATCACATCCTGGGAGTGCAGCTCTGCAAGCGCTCATCTCCATTGCAGGCAGCTCCCAGAGCACAGTTCAAAGAATCATGGAATCTCCTGAGTGGGAAAGGATCTCAGGGATCATTGAGTCCAATCCCTGGCTGTACACAGACACCCCAACAATCCTACTTTATCCCTGAGAGCATTTTCAAAACAGTCCTGCAGCTCTGGCAGCCTCAGGGCTCTGCACATTCCCTGGGGAGCCTGGGCAGTGCCCAGCACCCTCTGGGGGAAGAATGTTTTTCACAATATCCAGTCTAACCCTCCCCTGACACAGCTTCATGTCATTCCTTCGGGTCCTGTGCCTGGTCACAGAGAGCAGAGATCAGTGCCTGCCCCTCCAGGAATCTCCAGTGCAGCATCCCTGGCGCAGACTCAATCCTTTGCACTTTCCTTGGCCTCTGGAGATCAGGGATGTTCAGTACATTATACATCAGGTCACATCCTTGCACCAGTTTCAGGTGAGAAGGCTCTCACATGAGCCCCACAACACCTGAGGAGCTGAGAGGTGACTGTCTGTACCTCCCACAAGCCAAGAAACCCCTGGAGGCCAGACTGCTTTTGCTGCACAGCTGAACCAGCACTGAACACAGGTCCTAAGGGTGAATAAAACCCACCATGGCAGATTATTGTAGAATGATCCAAATTTCCAGATTCTCTGCAGTTTTGTCACAGTGCAGCAGTTTAGTGAACTTTCTAATAAATGTCTTAACATAGTGGATCAGATGCAAATCCTCTTCAGCCCATTACCTTTCCCGTGAAGGTGGTGGACTAAAACCAGGAAAAGAGTCTGAGGACAAAGTAAGCGTACTCACCTTCATCCCTCACTTAGCTCACTGCCGTTTGAACACATCCAGACCTTTGGTACAGTGTTAACCTGGCAGTGATAGACCTACAGAGAGCATTCCAGCACCCTCATCCCTGTACAGTGGGACAGTGTGAATAATCATTCCATATTAACCAGGCTGAAGAGTAAAGTTTAATTAACTGTTCATAAGACTGAAGCCTCTCCTTCAGCATGGAAATCATTTACTGGCTGCACACCCCTTGACTCAGAGCACTGCTCAATTTCTCACCAGTTCCTCCCAGTGAATGCCAGGGCAGAGGCTGCAATTTATGTATTTTCACGTGAATAATTCTTTTGAATTTTCCCAGCTTTGATGAAATCTAGTTGTGCCCATTTCTGTGTTTAACTGTGGGTTTTTCAGTGTTAAGGAGCTTGGTTTACGCAGAGTGTGAAGGTCATTCTTTATTTCCATGGCTCTTTCTGAGGCATGTGTCTCTGTGATGCCTGCAGTTCAGCAGCTCCTGGCGTGATGGGTTTCATATTGATGAAGGCAGCAGATTGCAGGAATATGATCGTGACTATAATGACAGGAAGGAGGGTCTGAGGAATGCACCAGTGCAGGATTTCTGTTCTGAGATTTTTATCTGAGTGAGAGGGCATTTATGAGGAGTGGGGTTCTTTTCCTAATGATGCAGTGATTTGGAATGGAGCAAATAATCTAGAGAATAGGTGCACCTTTTAAACAGAATATGTCCAACACTAAAGGGTTTATTGAGAGACTCTGGGGAGAAGGTGCTGTGAACATGTGTGTACTGTGTGCTCATGGAGAAGTTGTCCCAAAGAAACAGCAATAGCAGATGGAGCTAAAATTATTTTTTGCCCGTGAGAAACAGAATAATGCCTCAAGAGTCTACAGATACAGGAAGGCAGATCATCTGCTATTACTTTAACCTCTTCTGCACCTTCTTTTCTTTCAGGTCATATCTGACTCCAGTGCGGGATGAGGAAGCAGAATCACTGAGGAAGGCACGATCCAGACAGGCCCGGCAGACTCGCAGGTCTACCCAGGTAAAGAATGAAAATATTCACATCCATTTGTAGGATGAAGAGAGCTGGTTAATTGGTTGCCCAGAAAAGCTATGACTGCCCCATCCCTGGAAGTGTCCAAGACCAGGCTGGATAGGGCTTGGAGCAACCTGGGATAGTGGGGGCTGTCCCTGCCCGTGGCAGTGGATGGGATGAGATGAGCTTTAAGGTCCCTTCTAATCCAAACCATTCCATGATTCTGTAAAGAGGCAGGATTGTCTTTTCTCTTACGTTATTTCTTAGGACAAGGGACTTGCCTACACTCACACTGTTTTGGAGAGATTCTGGCAGAATTTCCTTCAAGGAATTACTACAAAACCCTCCCACAGACATACACGAGTTAGATTTCCAAGTTTTGCTTTCTGCAATGTACCTGCCTCTTAGTTTGTAGTGGTCACATATATTTGGGTTGCTTTGAGTCAGTGATTATGTCAAAAGACTGAGAAATACAGTAAAGGCAACAGAATTCTTCCCTTTCTCTTACCATAGGTATGAAACATGAGCCTGACCAGATGTGAGTCTGTGGCATTTTAAACTGACGTGAAAGACTGAAAATGTAATTTCAGGCTGCAGAAATCTCCAAGGAGACTTTAGAGCCCTTTCCAGTGCCTAAAGGGGCTCCAATAGAGCTGGAGAGGGACTTTGACCAAGGACCTGGAGGGACAGGACAAGGGGGAATGGCTTCCCATTGCCAGAGCATAGGGTTAGATGGGATATTGGGAAGGAATTCTTGGCTTTGAGGGTGAGGAGGCCCTGGTACATGTTGCCCAGGGCAGCTGTGGCTGCCCCTGGATCCCTGAAGTGTCCAAGGCCAGATTGGACAGGGCTTGGAGCAACCTGGGATGGTGGAAGGTGTCCCTGCCCTTGGTGGGGGTGAGATGAGATGAGCTTTAAGGTCCCTGCCAAGCCAGACCAGTGTGGGGTTCTGTGCTCTGTGCATAAATGGAAGGCTGATGTTTCCCTGCAGGGAGTGACCCTGACGGACCTGCAGGAGGCTGAGCGCACGTTCAGCCGGTCGCGGGCGGAGCGCCAGGCGCAGGAGCCGCAGGGCGACAGGGCCGAGGACAGCGGCGACAGGCCGGAGAGCCGCGCGCGGTGGGGACGGAGCGCCGACGACGAGGTGATCCTTCTGCCTCAGCACCCCTTGCCTGAGAGCTGACACCAGGAGAAATTCTTTGGGGGTTATCTTTTTATTCTGAGGGGGACAGACTAGCTGGAGAGAGGCACTGCTGAGTTCTGTGCAAGGGAGGTGGATGTGGAGGTGCTGGAGCTTAGCTCTGCCTTTGCTCTCCTCTGGGAATTTCACCTTTCTGTCTCTTGCCAGAAAATAAAATGGTGTAAATCCCAGAAAGTGTAATGAGAAGGCTAATGATAGAAATGTGGCCTGGATCCATCCTGCTGTGCAGTGTAGACAGAGGCTTTGTGTTCATGTTTTTCAACAGAGGTTCCATGTATAATGGAAAGCTGGAGAGACCAGTTTTCTGCCCCTTGCCACCACCTCTGTTTTTTTCACTCTAAATCATATCTTTCTATTTGATAACTTGTGTCTCCTGCCATGAACTGTAGGGACAAAGGGATTGATCCCAGATCTCCCAGCTGTGGAGGGTGCTTTTACACTTTAGCTGTGCAATGACTTTAACATCCATCCTTATCTGATAGAGTGGACCTGATCTGGCAAGTGCAGGTGTTCACTTTCAGCAGCAGTGGAGAAACCATTGCACTCTGAAAAATGACTGCCTTCCCTGAAATCTAAAATCTGGTACTTCCTTTTCATTGTACTATTTTTCTATCATGGCTCTTTGTTTGTAGACCGTCTATCGGCGATTGAGGGGCCCAGCGCAGCCCGACAAACCCACAACACCTGTGTCTCCTTCCACAGCAGCACCTCTGCTCTATACAAGCTCATACCTGACTCGAACAAATAAATATCTAGGGCTGGACTCCATGAATCCAGCAGATCTCAGAGCAGCAGGCACAGAGATGGAGAAAAATGGTACGTACCAGGAGAATGAGGAACAGATAAAACTCAAGGGTTTGCTTGTGGTTTAGAATTTCCAGTGTGTACAGATGGAGAGAATACGTTTACTGGTTATTCTGAGGGAAGCTGCCATGTCGCAAAACAAGTATTATTTGTTTAAATGAAGTTAAACAAATTCTTATTGCTTTTAACAGAGAGATAAAACAATATTTTCCATTTTGGGTGAATAAATGACACAGTGATCATGGAGCATTTAGCTATTAGAGCTGGGGAAAGAGGTTCCTCTAGTAGTTTGTCTTCAGAACAGGAATAAGTCAGAATGACTTGTGGAGAGCTGACAGCTGGGGTAACCTCCCTGGCTCTGATGAGGGAAGGAGTGTGAGTATCCAGCTGTAGTAAGACACTGAGATTCCATTTCATTTGGTTTAATAACTCCTTTGTAATATAACACAAGGCAAGATGACCTTGATCAGCTTGAAAAGAACCCCAGAACCTTAGCAGAAGCACAGATGTAAATCACTGAAACCAAAGCAGTCTTTCTTTGCTTGGCCAGAGTGTGAAGATCAGGATTCAGACGACAGATCCCTGAACAAACAGTCGATCCGAGAGCGACGACGGCCAAAAGAGAGACGGAGAGGCACCGGCATCATCTTCTCAACACAAGATGTAAGTTTGAGTTCCTTAGAAAGAGAAACTCCAGGGTGAATTTTCTTCCGATTCCAAGCTTCATGATTTTCTTCCCAGTCCACTGATTTCTCCTTAGTTGTTCCCTCTCCAGCTCTCTTTTAGCCTGGCATATCCAAAGGCCTCACATCCCTGTTTGGCCTGTGTCAGACCGAGCAGCAGGCTCTGGGCAGCCTGTTCCTGACCTGTACCATGGGAGCCTTGCAGGACTGGGACGGGGCCCACATGGGAGAGATTCAAAGTCTGATTCCTTTGGAAGGAGGTCACAAGCCACCTGAAGTATTTTCAAATTTCTTCAAGCCCAAATTTGTCTGCTCTTTAGGCCCCATGAAAGAAAGACAATAGGAAGAAACCTCATGTCTGGGTCCCCTCCCAGCACCAGGAAACATTCACGGCATAAGTGCAGCAGAGCTGTCTTTTCATGGTCATTTCTCTTTATTTGGGTTTCAGAGGATTTCTTCAGTCTGAGGGAAGGAATCCAACCCTCTAAACTTTGGTTAGAGCCTCAGGTAGGAAAACAGATCACCTTTTTCAGGACAGAAGAAGAATTATGAAATTATGGTTAATGACCTGAGTCCAGAGCCAGCTGGGATGCCATGGTAGTTCATTTGCTTCATGAAATCCTGGAGCAGTTACAAAGGGCAGTGGCTTCAAGAGGCTATGCAAGTGCAATATACCTGGGATGACAAGTCTTTCCACCTGGAGTCTAACTGAACAGGAGATACTTTTGGAAGTCAGTATTATGACAGTATTTCACATGTGCAGTTTTTCCAAGTTTTTTTCCCCCAGTGTATTAGGGACTTCGTCCCAGCTCCTCAGAAGCATTGGAATGGCAGGAGCCATCTCAAGAATCATTCTGTCCTCAATAACACAATCTCCTAAATGGCCACTAGGACACCAAACCTGGTCTGATAATCAGCCAAAAGCATTTGGACAGGCTTTTTTTTGACAGAAGTTTTCCTAACATTATCATCAATTAATTTTTTCACTGAAAGGGTGATTAGGGACTGGCACAGACTGCCCAGAGCAGTGGTGGAGTCACCATTCCTGGCTGGGTTCAAAACACACATAGATGTGGCATTTTGTGCTGTGACGGAGTTGACATGGTGTGTTCAGTCAAAGGTTGGACTTGCTGGTCTCGGAGGTCTTTTCCAACCTTCATGATTCTATGATTCTATAAACAATACATTATCTGCTTGGGCTAAGGTTTTGTTGTCTCCAGAGCTGCCTCATTATATTGTTTGCCTTTCTTCCTAGGATGAAGATGAAGTTGATGGAAACGAGGAAGTGAAGGAAACACGTGTAAGTGAAACCATCTATCTGGATCATTGATGTGTCACTCTTGGGTGCTGGTGGCAGAGTGTTCTGTACTCTTATCTATAAAAGAGTTCAGGCTTTGCTCAGGAGTATGAACAGGGAGGTAGTTCCAAGCAGCAAATTCCTTATGATTTCTCTTCTGAAAGATAAGGTGTATCTGCAGAGTGGTCTGATTCAGTGTTGGCTCCTGGAGAGCTGCACAGGAGATGTGGAGCCTGGAGGGAATGCAGCAGTGGGGCTGCAGTGCTGGGGCAGTGGGATTCCAGGTGTCCTGGGGAAGGTGTGACCTTGGATCTTGGAATCACTGCTGTTTCGGACAGGATGTTTTGTATTTCTGAAATCTGCTCTCCTGCCTCATGGAGTTGTTTTCTTGCGGGAAATGGTCTTTGCCAGCAGCACGTCAGAGGTTGTTTGGTGTTCCCCTCTTCTTGCAATAGTCTCATCCTTTGAGGCCCTTTCTTTCATTTTATAATAATTACTGAGTCTTTCCAAATTGCCTTGGTTTCCTTTGGTTTTGTTTGTCTTTGTCTGAAACACATTTGAGCCTGACAATGTGACTGACTCTGACAATGTTAAAGCTAAATACATTTCCAAGCTATTAAAGTGCAATGTGGAAGACCTGGGAGAAATAGCAAATGTAAGGTTGCATAGGGGCCAGCCTGCTTGTGGGATGTTTCATTTTTGCTGAACCTGGGGTAGCCTTTCCCTATACTTGCAATGCAGTAGAGTGATTGAAGCATCATTTAGTTGGAGATAACTGGTTCTTTGCTGAAAATTGGCAATAATGCTCTTCAGACTCTGTTTTTGTTTTCATTCTTGCAATATTCAGTCAGAATAAAGCAAAGTCATGGTGAGCCTTGCTGGGGCCAGGGACTCACGTGGTGCTGGGATGGTGTTTAACATGTGCTTATCTTTCCATGCCAGCCGTTATTTTCCCAATGCTTACTTTGCACTTTACTCCACTTGAAATGTGAGATATTCCTGCTCACAGAAGCATCACCTGCTTCAAAGAGGCCAGCTCTTCCCACACAAGTTTCTGTTCATCACACTGCAGAGCTTCCTGGCACCTTCACTGAACCCTGCAGTAAAGATTAGGCCATTTATTGTCATTAAAATTGTTTTGACATTTATGCTGTCTCAGAGTAAGACTGAAGGAGGGGAGTTTTGTAATGTCTAAAAGTAATAATCATAATAGGGACACCTTGTTTCCAGCAGGCATATTTGGGACTTGCTGGGAATGTCTTGTTCTTCTGGGAAGTTGTCCCAGATTACCTAAATTAAGACAAAATAGTAGCTGAGGCTGCACGTTTGGAGGCTTCCTAGAGTCTAGTTCTAAAATTGCTGAGATTTTATTGAGCACAGCCCTCACTGCTCATATAAATGGACAAGCTGCACTTTGGGAGAACCCAGCTGCCCAAAAATTCAAGGTCGCACAGTCTCTTACAATTCATAATGCTGGTTTTCCCCAAATTAACAGAAAGGATTCCTTTTGTCTAACACTTCACATGGTTTTCTTGTGGGATCCATCTAAAAGCAGAGCAGCTTCCCTTCAGTTCCATCATCCCCTTTGTGCAGGTGCTTCAGGACACCAGTACCATGGTTTCTTACTCACCTAATGTACCTTAGGCCTGGGTTAGACTCTCCTCCCATTCTGCTAGAGCTGTTTTTCCCATTTTCCCAGTCCTCTTGTTTTTATCCAGTTCCCAGTTTATTTTCTTGAATGCATGCCTCCAGCATCATGTCACTTGGTTAGTCTTCCCTGGTTTATTTGAGATCCAAATCAGAGATTTCTGTCCTAACTGGCTATCACTTTGGCAGGAATCATGAAACAGCTCTCTGCTTTCAGTTCTAGTGCCAATAAGAAAGTACAGTTAATAATCATTAATACTTCAGTAACTATGGTTCTAGACTGGCAGGTGCCAAATGTCACCAAGTTGTAAACTTGAACAGTCTGGAGTGTCCCGTTTTAGTAGCAGAACCCCAACGGATCTGATTTTGTGGGAATGGTTATATTTTCCCTCCAGTTTTCCCTCCAGTGTTTATATCTTGGCTGATACCAGGATTATTTTCATGGAGGCCAAAAAAATAACTTACTTGAAATCCCTCCTCCAAGCTCTGCAGTGCTGGGGACTAGCACAGGAAAGGTAAAGGCAGTTTTGGGAAGAAAAAAAAGGAGCAAATACATATTGTTCTAATTCTCAGAAGTGGATGAATTATTTTGGCTGAGCTCATGAGCACCAGAGTGGGAAACCAGCCCAGACACTTTGGCTGAGGTTTAGGCAGCTAAGAGGTCTCCTAGTGGGATGTGTCAGTGTCCTCCATGTGTTCTGCTCCCAGCCCAGCTCCCTCCTTGGGACACAGACTGCCTGGATGCACTGTGGAAAGTTGGAAGAGCACACAAAGTTTTATTGTGGAATAAATGTTCAAGGGTACAAGGACTTCAGCTGGAAAAAGCCTCTGGGGAAGCAGCTTTAGGAGAAATTTTTCTGTGATTCCAGTGGGAAGGAGCTGCAGAGGAAGGAGTTTTCGTGTGGTCTGGGGAGACCTGAGCTCAAAACAGAGGTGGGGGAGAAGCTTGGCCACAGTCTTGTCACTGTTTCTCAGAAAATAAAAATTGGGAGAGTCTGAAAACTCATGTTATGCCCTGACTGAGCTGGAGGGAGGCTGGAGCTGTGAAACCTTCCTTGTTCCCTCAAGCCACTGACTGCAGAATATCAGTGGGAATTCCAGTCTTGGTGAGGCCCATGAGGACAAATGCAGCAGAGTCAGTGTGGGTAGGGATCAGTGGGCTAGTCTGGGATGCAGTGGGAGGATGATGATGAAGACTAAAGAGAATGTTCCAGTGTTCCATTTCAGGGCAGGTTTTCTTTATTCCTGACTCTGCTGGCTTTGACTTGGCCCTGACTTAAAATAATAGAATCTATTACAGACTGGTTTGGGTTGGAAGGGACCTTAAAACCCATCCAGTCCCACCCCCTGCCATGGGCGGGGACACCCCCACTATCCCAGGTTGCTCCAAGCCCAATTCAACCTGGCCTTGGACACTTCCAGGGATGGGGCAGCCACAGCTTCTCTGGGAAACTTCTGCCATTGCTATTGCACTGCAGGAACAGCTAGGAACAATTTCGGAAGAAAAGTATATTTTAAATGACAGAGCATAGAGAACAAGTAGAGAATGTGTATAAAATTTAAAAAATTGTTTCTCCTTGCAGTTTTCTGCCAGAGCATTACAGATGTGCTTCACCCACAGGAGAGTTTGACAAAGGAAAATTTTAAATTCAGAGGAAGACACTGAGTGTTATATTCATAAAATAAAAATTTCTGAGCAGTAAAAGTATCAACCAAAATGTCTGTTGTCATGAACTACCTTCAGGACAGTCTGTATAGCCCAGTATAAACCCCAGACACACTAATGGAATTAAGTTTTATGGAGGAATAGCACTGAAACATTTGATTGTGAATTACAATTGCAGTAAGTGGATTAAGTAGGCTCCATTCCTGTCTCCCTGCACTCTGATTTATGGAATGAACCAGGCTCACTCTGATTTGTAAATAAGTGTTCTGCCTACTTGTACTGTTACCATGAAATCACCAGATGCAACTAGATACCAATATAAATTAAATCTATCTTAGAAGGGCTGAATTTCTAAGCTTAATTGCACAAGTTCTAAGGGAAGACCAATGAACTGGAAAATTCGTTATACAAACTTAATGTCTTAACATTATTGCTGATTCAGAGCTATGACCTGGGAGTCCTGATTTTGGTGTGTCCTATTTTTCACCTATATTTTTGCTTTTAGTGCCACTTTATCCTTCCACAGAGGCTTCAGTTCAGTTTTGCCACCATGCCGTTTGCCTTTTTGTGAAAGAGGGATGTGATGAATAACTAGAAGATCAGGAATAGCTTTTGTTAAATGCTTTGTGAATGTCCTGTTGTAGCCAGTCTGGGTGTACTGGGAGCCCTGGGAGTCCCCAGTCGTTCCTGCCCCTTTCCTGGTGTCATGCACCAACCCTGTGCCTGTGGACTGTGTTTGGAAGCCAAGGAAGGCTCAGAGGCCTCCACTTTCAGGGCTCACATTGCCTAATATGGTAAGGTATGTCTGCAAGAGCTGAGATGTTTTGCTGGGATACAAGGGAAAGTTGACCAGTAAAAGGAACAAAATAGGTGAACTTCTGGCCAGCTGATAAGAAACTAAAATGCTTTCAATCCAGACTGTATGGTGCTGTATGGTGGTGCTCATCTTATGGTTCATTGCTGCAGGCCCAGGGTCCCTTCTGGGGATAAAGGATATAAGTATTTTCCCTTGGTTTTACCCTTGAATGTTTATTTCTAGAAGAGATGTGGTGTGATGTGGGAAGGAAACCATCTGGCTCCTGTCCAAGGGCACGTAGATGGCACCATGTATCACTTGCATCATGTAGTTAAATTAGAGAGCATTTAATTCTGAGTAACATAAGGTTGGGAGAGATTGGCTCTGTTTAGTCGTGTTTATAAACAAATTGCTCTAATGGGCTGTGTATGCTGCAAGGAAAGATCTTTAATATGTATATCAATATGAAATAGCAGCAAAGTGCTGCAGGAAGGAGCATGAGCTGAGGCTTTGCCATAGAGCTTGAATGTGGTCAAGAGCGTCCTCATCGTGTTCAGAGTGCCCTGGGTTCTCTGGGAAGTGGAGGGGGCAGACAGCAGATAAATTAAAATTCATTCTGCAAATACTCCTGCAAAAATACTTCACATCTGCACAGAGGATTTGTCCTGTGAGTTCTCCAGCCTGATGTGCTTTTGCTGGTTTTTCTTAACCTCAGTATGTGGAGAAGGGCATCAGCCTGGGTGGCTGCTCTCTTTGTTGGTACAGCACTTCACTCCTCAGCCTGGCTCTGAGCACCAATTTACAGCTCTGGGAAAACATTGTTTGTCCTAAAGCCAAGTGACCCAAGTGGGTTGTGTGACTACAGGGTTACAGCTAAATGCCTTCAGGTGAATTCCTCCAACTCACCAAGTTGCTGAATTAGGAAGGTGTAATGTGAAGCAGTGATGGGGA